TTTTTTGTCTGGGAACGAGACTCTGGATTGACACTTGCAGTGTTCCGAGAGGTGTATCCAGATCTTGGCAAACCCTTTTTCTTTCAAGATGCTGGCCATCACATTCTGAGGGTGAAACCAGAGAGGTACTGATGCTTTTTTTTTCCTGTTAATGATAGACTTAACATAAATCTGCATGTGACTGTGAAAAATGCTGCAAAACCTTTTCTGTAATTGTCAATGGAAACAATAATCTTACCTATTGACCAAATTAACATAAATTTCATAAAAAAAGGTTGTGGTTGTTCATCATGGTAAATAACATTAATTATTACATGACTCTGGAAGTCAGAGGGCCAATAACTAAAATCAACCAATCAAAATGCTCTATTGCCGGTCAATATTCTCTCGGTATTGGACTGGGCACTGTCTCGAATGGTCCCGAATGATACCGCACTTGTGTCCCTTTGAACTTCAGTCGTATTATAAATCTCCTATTAACCAAGCTTGCTCGGGACCGTACTGGAAGAATATCGGCCCTCGGTCTTTTTTGTACGGACCTCACTGCACTTGGTCCATACTGTGAAGACCTTGGGCCGATATTCTCGCAGTACAGCCCTTGCGCTTGCTTAATAAGATATATAACTAAATGTTATTGTTTGTCTCACAATGTAGTCATTGGTGATGTATATTGTGACGTTTCAACTGCATATGCCTAGTTTTCTTTGAGTGATTATTAACATGAGTTAACATGAAATTATTGTAATTATACATATGGTGGGATTGTTGTCAGATGAGTCAGGTCTAGTCTTTGAAAAACAATTGATGTGTAGCATTTTGTTGTTAGACTCTCTGATGCCACATTGCCTGTCTTCCTTTAAATTTTGCTTTCAGATCTGAACTTCAAGTTGAGCAAATTGAAAAGCTACAAGAAAAAGTTTTTTTCCTGGAAGGAAACAAAGACAACATTTGTGTCATCAGAATTCCAAACTTCCGTGGAGTTTGTGGATAATGTGTATTTAAAATGATGTATTACATTTTTAGATCTTCAATATTTGTGAGTAATTCCTTGCAAGAGAGGTGCTTTGTTCAAGCTCAAAAAGCTGCCCTTAAATTTTTACTCTCAGCCTGATGCATACATCTAATTCTTGCCACACTAAAAAACCTTTAATAATGGAATTTTCACAATTAAAAATATGAGAAATGTAAATTATTTTGTATGTCTTTTTTTTTAAGCATACTGTAATTTTGTGGAGAAATGCTTGAGTTTTGGTGTGGTAATATTAAATGAATCATGACAGAACAGCAGCGTGGTTATTGCCACTTGTAAGAGTTACCTAGAAGTTAGTATTTTGTACTTTTCAATAGGAAGTAATGCTCTTGTAATCATAAGTAATTCTGGAAATAGATTCAACAAACATCTAACATGTAGTGACACCTGAAAATTTTTACATGCAAAATTCTTAGTTGGTTAAATTATTACAATAAATGCTAGATTTTTTAAAAGAAAACGTACTTAAAGGTAGTTCTAATTTCACTAACAGGTTTTTATTTGGAATCAGTTATTAGATGTAATATTCTTGAGAAGTGTGCAATTCTAGAAGCTGAAAAATTACGAGCCATCAATTAGTGTCTCAAAAAGTCCATTCGTAGAAAATCCCAAAAATTCCAAACTTCACTCAATTCAACAGCTCCACTAACATTCTTGAGAATTCCTAGGAATTCTTAGGAATTCCAACCCTAGAGATATGTGTAACATACAATTCTCAAGAATTCCCAGCAATTCCAAACCTTCTGCCACTGTGTCTAATTTGCATAGTTGGGAATTTCTGAGAATTTCTGGGAATTCCCAGGAATTCCAACCCTAGAGATTTGTGTAACGTACAATTCTCAAGAATTCCCAGCAATTCCAAACCTTCTGCCACTGTGTCTAATTTGCATTGTTGGGAATTTCTGAGAATTTCTGGGAGTTCCCAGGAATTCCCAGGAATTCCATCCCTAGAGATTTGTGTAACGTACAATTCTCAAGAATTCCCAGCAATTCCAAACCTTCTGCATCTTTGTCTAATTTGCATAGTTAGGAATTTCTGAGAATTCCTAGGTAGAAATTCCCAAAAAGCTGGGAATTCATTTCGCAGGGGTTCGACCTTTAGGTAAAACTACGCCGAACTTGATTCTTCAAACAAATTCAGAGCGGCGAAAACGAATCTCCTGTTCGGTGGGTTTTAAAAGAGAGCAGATTTTAAATTATTGAGTTCCATGATAGGTCCCACAATCAATTTCCTAGAGCTCCGAAGCAGACGGTCGAAACGTGTCGGTCGATTTAAATTCTGCCAGACGAACTCGACTGATTCGAACGTTAAATTTAACAATTCAAAACAATTCAAACTCACCGATTCTCTTAGTTCAGTTCGAACTGGGCCTACAAGATGATTTTTTAAGTTTTGCTGTATGGAGTTTTATCCTTTTGTATTAATTATTTGCACTTCCAGGTATATTTGCAATCTCTACTTGCTTACGCTCATGAAACTTAATAGAAATTACAAACCTTTTTCCCTCCGCACTGCGTAATATTTGCAGAGAAATCAAAGCAGCGAATTTATACCTGGTTTCCCGAACTTGGCGGAGTAAGGGCAAACCAAATAAACATTTCC